TTTTTTTTTTTTTTTTTTTTTTTTTTTTTTGGGAGGGGGGGGGAGGAGCTTTATGAACATGTCGTGTGTTACTCGGCTTCTTACTATAGAATAAAGTGCAGAAGGATACACGACGGTTCAGGAAAGTGAAAACACCAAAAATACTGTTTTTTAAAAGATTTCTTATATTAACAAAATGTAAACCATTCTCTTCATTTAACGTGTGACGAAACCGTCAATTTCCGTAAATGCTAATTCTCCAATCTCACCCGATGCATACTTACTTTTAAAAGGTTGAACTTGAACCAGAAATTGGCAATGTAATGCAGACGCATTGATGCAGATGCACTGTTTAGGCAATGCAGAACTTTGTTCTCATGAATAAAAAATACGACGGCTAATTATCCTTGAAAGCATTAATACTAATCACAGAAAAGTATATTCTTGCAAAGCGCTCAGAACTTTCCCGTATTTATCTTTTTTTCCTGTCACTCTTCAATTTATTTCTAAACATCGAGTTTGACTTATATTGGTCAAAATTTTAGGACTTATTTTCCATCGCTTATATGCTAAAAACTAGTCTAAACTTCGACTTCTGAGTCACAGATGGGCCACTTTTGCTTTAAAGTAAATCTCGTATAGCTCGCTATCGTATATTTTTGTACATTAAGAATTTACTTCACATAGGCCAGGAGACAACAAGAATGAAGCGTTTGGTAATTTGTGTGAACACTTTTAAACATAAATGTACTAACGACAGATTCAGAAAATTCATAAGAAGTTTTAAGTCATTAGTTACAACAGAACCAGAAACCAAGCAAAAGATCAAATGCAAAAGTTTCAGCAAGGTTACCAGAGTGTTTCACAAGCAAGCTCCACAACGTTACCTTAGAAGACAGCGAGATTCAAAGGGTCTTAACTACTGTAAATCCATTATACGAGATTCACAGCAAACAAGAATATATAAGGACTTGGTGGAGCCGGTCAAAGGAACCATAGATAAGCAAGATACTACAAAAAGACAAAGAAAAAAAATCAATTTAGCTGTTTATTCATTAAATAGACTGCTACTTCGAGCAGTTCTCTACCTTCTTCTCGCCAGCAATACCATTTTTCGCAGGCAGTACCAAGTTCTACCTAAAAAAATTTCAGGACATACTTAAGTAAGCAATGTCAGTAATTTAAATAAGGCAGAAATGCATATTACGAAATTTATGTCAAAAGAAAAAAAGAGACTTAGTGGACACTCTAAAATTAACACCTGCACAAAATACCACCCAAAAAGCCAAGTATGAGTCACGATTGATGAGTCACGAGAAAGCGTTTTGGGAAGGCAGACAAAAAGTCACACTTATGGGTGGCGGCAGGGTGGCAGAAGAACATTCAGAAGTCGAATCTAGTCAGTGTTTTCAAGTCTAGTGTCCAGTTCGGTTGGTTCAGTTAGTCTTGTCTGCTGCTCCAGCCTGACCAGTCATTTTGTTCGACAATTCAAAACCTTTCCATTGTTCCAGCTTGGTTTCCTTACTTTTGTATGAGACGTGCCTTCGGCAGCTTTAGGTTTTTTAAGCTTGAGCTTAGGAAACTTTTGTACAATCACTGTAATTAATATTTCTGTGATGTAGGTATCCTTTATGTTCGTTTGCACTGGTAGTTTATATTTTGTCCAACTGGGTGCTTGAGACAGCTCGCGAGAACTCCCGCCATTTTACTGTGTGTTTATTCCCGTTAGTTGTTCTCAAAAAACCTTCTAAATATAATATTTAGGAAACATTTTAAAACCTATACCACGCAGTTGTCCTACATATCGTCATCACAAAGGGTTGCAGTCTCACCTACAACCAGAGGAGTAGTTATCAGGAGAAGTTCTCCAGTCTTAGCTTACTCGTCCTTAGTTGTTATAGAAATATGAGCGAGATCAAGCAACAATATAAAGTACTCGCTATACAGTAAGTAAAGCCATTGTTATCGAGGTAGTCCTCGGTTTTTGGATCAAAAAAATTTAAATTATGAGAATGTCTAAGCTTTCTTTAAATTTCTTTGCACACCATTTACACTAACGGCTCCAAATGCGACGAAGTGGAGGCATCCATCGGATGCACAATGCAATAGCGCTGTTTGAAAAGGACAGCTTGGCAAAATTCCATTATGGTACAAAAGTGTTTGGAACCGATACTTTCTATGATAGCTGGGCACAATAATTTAGTCTTGTTTCATTAGTTGTTGTTTGGTGCAAACTGCCTTTATATAGCCCATTGTGTCTTGCCACACTTTTTATGCTAAATTTTTTCACTTCAGCAATAGAAGTATATATCGTTTTCTAGCAAAGCTGAGTCAGTTTCCTTTGAGTTTTTCCTGAGATACCATATCGTGAAATTGAAGGTATTTTTCTAAAAATGTTGTACATGAATGTTTTTGCGAAATCTTTAGTGAAAATGCGGCAGGATATACGAAGTGAAACGTTAGTACTTGCATGGAACACCTGTTTTAGTGTATAATTTTAGGCTTTTTATTGATCTACAGTTAAAGTCATCAGTTATCATGGGAAGCGGAAGTATAGAGAAGGAAAAAAGCAGACATCAGTCAGGACACGATGAAAGAAATCGCGAAAAACGGAAACGGAGAAGATCTAGAAGTGTCAGTTGTAACTCAATTTCAGAAAAGCACGTTTTTTACTCTCTTTTAATTTGCCGCCTAACTTCTGCAGATTAAAAAATTAAAAAATTCTTTTTTTTTTTTACTTCTTTTTATGCTATGATTTCATTGCATATTTCTAAATCCTATAATTTCTTAATTCATGGTATGATCTTTTTTGTTGAAATGTTGAAATAAGTTGGAATTAGCATTTTTCAAAACAAATTCTAATAGTTGAAGTCGTGTAATTTTCAGTACTGTTTTGGTTGAGCAGGATGCAAATGAGTTGAAGCTAGCAGCCACCATATTGTAGGTCCCTTTTCTGCCAATTGACACTCAGCTTTTTTTAGGAAAGGCAGTTTTGACAAACGCTTAGATGAACTGCGAAGGGAGAAGAAACGGCAAAAGAAGTTGAGGAAGGAAAGGATTAAGGCGTCGGAAACGTTGGAAGAAAAACGTGCTAGACGTGTGGCCAAAAAGTTACGAAAGGTACTGGGTATAGGAATCAGTGCTTTTTTACTGAGCTTTGCTGTTTTCTTTTTCGGTTAAACTTTTTAAATTTTAGGAAGAGAAACGTAAGGCGAAAATAGACAGTTTGCTTCCTGAAGGTGCTGACTACACGAACTTGAACAACCCATTCAATGACCCCCATCTTACTCAGACATTTATATGGACCAAGAAATTAGAAGCCGAAGGTCTTGCAAACTTGCCTATGCGAGATCTTGAAAAATTGTAAGTGGATTTTTTATTTGTACTTTGCAACCACATCTCTTTATAGTTTATTGCAAGTATTTTTTCTGTATTGTGAAGCAAAGTTGTATTTGCAAAGATTTTTTGAGAAGCATTACCAATTCTCTGTAGTTATTTTTCATATTTTTGCGAAGTAAATTTCTGCCTTCGTAGAACTCCATAATTCCGCATTGGCTCATTTTTTGACTTTAGGAACAGAGAGCGAATCCGTAAGAATTTTGCTGAAATGGAGGATTTGAAAAGGAATCGTGAGGCTCGGGAAGCAGCCCGAGAAGATTTGGAGATGATTCGTAGAGACGAAGAAAGAAGAGGGAATTTCACCTGGGAACAAACTGAAGAAATGTTTCACCTTAATCAGGCTAAATTACGTTCAAAAATAAGACTTCGTGAAGGCCGAGGGAAGCCAATTGATTATCTTGCAAGGTAAGCTATTGTAGGAGAGAGTGGAGTTTCATTCCAGTGTAGCTATTGGGAGAAGTTTAGGAAAATGTTTATTCTTTGGTTTCTGTAGATGTTTACTGGGACATAGCCTCAAATGGCTTTGCAGATTAGCATTTTGTTGTTCACAGTCTTGTCCTGGGTTTCATTCGCGTAGATTTTGAAGCACTTATTATTTTTGATTCTTAATAGTTCTCAAGGAGGGGTCATTTTCAGGACATTTAATTTAGTTGAAATGTTATCTGGCTATGATTACTTGATTTTTGGTTAGATTCTCAACAATCTTTTTTTAGATATATTAGATATGATGACGGTGATGGTAAAAAGGACGATGAAAGAGGAACCGGTGAGGACGACGAGTATGACTTAGAAGTGCCGCTGGTCTATTTGCACGGTTTGACAACCAAGGATCTTGAGGATCTTTTGGAAGATATTAAAGTGAGTCTTTAGGACGTTTTTCTGGTTTTGTTCCTTGAAGATTTTTAAGGTATTCGGGTTAAATTTTGTTTTTTAAGGTTTATATTCGAATTGATCAGCCCAAAAATTTGTCATGGTGGTTAGATTTTCGTACAGTGGTTAATGGTGAACTGAGGAAACTGAGTGACGATGTGAGGACTTCGAGCTTGCGAGATTCCATCCATGGCTCAGTCCAGCAGGACGTGACAAGAATATTGACAGTTAGTTTAAGTTCAGTTTTATTTTCAAGTGGGGCTGCTGATGATTTTGAAGTGATAATAAGTTAAATTTTGGGTCTTAATGAGTTTTTTTCTTAAGGCCGTCATCTGCAAAGAAAATATTCTGCTCTGGAGATTTCAATTTAAAATTTTTTCAGGGCAAATCGCTTGGAGAACTAGCACAGTTGGAGTCCCAAATTAAGAAGAAAATACATGAAGGGCGGGAAGGGACGGACGTTGCGTACTGGGAAAGCCTTCTCACTCATTTGCAGGTTCATATGGCTAAGGGAAGAATTTGTAAACGGCATAACGAGATATTAAAGTTTCGTTTAAAGAAAATGAAGGAAGAACAAATGTTGGATTTAAGCCAACAGGGCACCAGTACCAGAACAAAAAATATGGTATCTATTTACTTTGGTTTTTTTACGTTTTTTGGAACATTTATAATTTAGTGTTTTTCTGCTTTTGCGGTAGTTCATAATATTGCTTTTCTGTAATGCGTTATTTACTTTTTCTCATGCATTCGCATTGTTTGTGTTTTATGCCGTTTATTTGTATTAATGGTTGATTAAGAAACTGTTTTTTGCATAAACTACTCTAATGTCACTTCTTCTTTGACTGTTAATTTTGAAGGTCGTAGAGAAGAATCAGAATGAGCCGGATTCTTCAAAACAGCCAAGCGGCAAAACCAAAACGAGCTATTCAAGGGTTCTGGACGACTTAGATGCTGCTGATGAGGAGGCAAAAGAACAGAAATGGAGGCACGTGGCTTTCTTTTCTATTAATTCCGATTTTAATTCATTGGGTTTTCTAGAGGAGTCAGCTTTTGTTTGTTCAAAATTTGAGTGTTTTTTCACTTTTTATTTAAATTTCAATGTTAATATTTTAGGCTTTTGACTGAGGAAGAAATGGAAGCTGTGACGCTTGAGATGTACGAACGAGGCTGTTACAGCCCTGTTTACGGAGACGAAAAACAAGCTATGCCAGGAATTGAAATCCTCAACGAAGCTGAAGATGAACGTAAAAGAATTGAAGCACGTTTGAAATATCGTGATGAATCGGGAACAGACAGCATTTCTTATTCGGTACGTATGGGCGATTTTCAGCTTCTTTAATGTTAAAATTTCAGTTTGTATTTTGGTTTCGTTTTACATAACTTTTTTTTTTAGGCAGAAGAAAGGGAAATGTTGGCAATTGCCAAAAAAGGTATGGACAGTGATGAGTCATCCTTTGCTGTTGAAGCTCCGTTAGAGGCTCAGACCTTCTTATGGTCTGAGAAATATCGTCCTAGGAAACCAAGGTAGTCTCAAAACGGTTTATGTAATTTTCTATTTGAGAGGGATAATAAATTACAGTGTTTGAATGACTCTTTTTCAGGTATTTCAATCGTGTACATACCGGATTTGAATGGAATAAGTACAATCAGACGCATTACGACATGGACAACCCGCCACCAAAAATTGTACAAGGTTATCGCTTCAATGTAAGTTCTGACATTGTTAACCAGTGTGTCATATTAACTGTTTTTCTTTTGATGTATTTCGCTTCACTCAGTAATGATTGGACAGCCTGTCTGAGTTTTTTTAGCAAAATTGGGGGTTTGCTGCCGTGAAAATTTGTATGTTGTGAGAATGTATATTTTTTTGTATTTGGTGTTTACTGGAATAGGTAGTGCAAATTTTCATGTTATCTTTCGTAGTTGGATGTGAAACGCAGTTCATAAAAGAAGATTTCTTTGTTTTTTAACGCGAACATTTTTATGTTTGGTCTTTCTAGCGTGCGCGGAAGGGGATTTTGTATATGAAATTTTTTTAGTGAACTTACAAGTTTTTGGTTAGTACGACGTAGCTTCCATATTTAACAGCTAAACTCTAGGATTTTCCATTGATGAGCTAGAGTTTTCGGATTGTAGATGTTCTTGTGCTCTATACGCAGGGGGCGTTTGTGAGGCACGCTAGGTCTTAAGGGTGTTTTTAACTTGATTTTTTTCGTTCTTCGAAGTGTATCATATGCATATAGTATTAGATAATAAGCGAAAATTAGGATTTAAACGTTGACAAAGCGCTTTAGGAAAAACTGGTTTTGCTTTAAAGGCTAAGACTCGAAGTTTCAGACATTAAATTTTTATTTTTTATTTCCTGGAACGTAACAGAAGGTTTTTAGATTTTTTATCCTGATTTGCTGGATGTGACCGAAACGCCATCATTCACCGTTACGCCTTGTGACGATCCAGATTTCGCTGTTCTCAGGTTTCATTCCGGACCACCATACGAAGACATAGCTTTTAAGATTGTCAATCGGGAGTGGGAAATAAGTCATAAACATGGATATAAGTGTCAGTTTGCAAATGGTATTTTCCAGTTGTGGTTCTTCTTCAAACGTTATAGATACCGTAGATAATAGTTGTGATGAGCCGTTGTTGTACAAATTACTTTGTTGATTTTCACATAGTGTCAGTAAAATCGTTTTTTATATGTTGCAGCGACCGATTTTTCAAAGACAAAGCAATGAGGCACTATATTGTTTTTTCTTTAATTTTTTCTTGCTCTTTTTCGTCTTTTTTTTTTTAATTTTTTTGGAGACAAAATGTTGCTTTGTTGCTGTTTAACATATGAAAGCCGTCAAAATTTGAGCTCCTTTGTAATGTTGGTGCTATAAGTGGTTTTTTTTATGTCATAGGATGCTAGGGCATAATTGTTGAATGTTGTTGATGGTAGTTTATATAGCAAGAATTACTGGGGAGTTGTTTAAGCTGAATGTTGTTTTTTAGGGATGAAGTTGTTGAGGATTAATATGTATATATAGGTATCTTTTGGGATTTGTTCGCATGAGTGTCTCAACTTTCTTCTATTTTCCTTTGTGGTTCTTAGAATAGAGAGTGTTAGTATATTCTTCTTGTTTCCTTTTAGCTTGAAAGTTTGTTTTTGAAGGATTTAGACTCTAAGGAAATAAAGTTTTGAACAAATTTTTGTACCGAGTTTTGCACCATGTTACGTGGTCTAATAGAGTTATGTATTACACATAGAGGAATACTTTTGCTGCTTCCTATTAACGTCGTGTAAGGTACTGGAGTGTTACTTCGGGGATGCTTGGTTTTCAGATGGTCGTGAGGGAGGCTATTCTCTCAATGTTTACTGTCAGTCAACGCTCGTTCCTCGTTGTTTCTTTGTTGCTCATTCTAGGGGAGGCATTGCTGTGTGGATGGGTTATCGACAACGTGAAATGTATTATTTTAATGCAGTGTTTTTGCCTCTAATTCAGTTAACTTGAGGTAGTTTGGATTTTAGATACTGAAATTGATTGGTCAACGTACATGCAGCAAGTAGAATGCTTCCTGAGTGGTGTCCGAAACTATTCTCAAATTGGGGGTGATACAGGACCTGTTGTGTGAGTGCATCACTCTTTTTATAAGTATTACCTTTTTTTACAGTCCCGTCTCGTCACTTTTTTTATTTCTCGACACTGTCAAACGACTCATTTATTGTGGCGGGAGTTTCTTCCCAACAGAAGTTAAAACGAAGTTGTTTATTGCTGTTGGAAATTTCATTACTTTTTCACATGCTTAATTCAGTGCTGGTTCCCCTACTTTTGCAATTTTCGCAGTACTCAATTTCCTGACGAAGTAATTAATTTATTTCAGTTGAGAAATGAAGATTTTCAGCTACCCAGCCGGGCATATTTACGCATATGGGATATTATATTCAATAACCAGTGGAGGAAAGGATATCCGACGGGCGCAATACATTTTTGAAATTCTTTATTTAATGACGCTTTTATTAGTTTTTCGAGTGTATTACAAAAGCAAAAAAGTATTCCTTTAAAAGAAACAAAAAAAAAATTAGCTGAAATTCAGTCGTAAAAAAAATTTAAAATTAACGTATTATGTGGTTAAGTTTTGCTTATTACTTGTCAAAATGGCAAAAGTGCTTACTGTTGAAAAATGTTTGTAATACAGACGGTTATTTAATTACCAGCTTTTAATGGTTAACTTCTTTTTCAGATTCCTCCTTTTGTGCTTTTTTTCTTGTGCTGCATATCTTACCGTATTCACTCAATTTTTCTTTTGCGCTTGTTCAATGACCCTATTGCGATGCTTTTCTTCTATGTAGCCTTGAATTTTTGGATAAGTAGGCAATGGATAATTGGATGTATCTTTTACAGGTATACATTTACTACTCTCCCTTGTTGCGCCAGAAGAAGGTGTGTTGTAGCTCTCTTTATCTCACAGGAAAAAAGCTGTGCGATTGCCCAAATGATATTTTGTATATGATGTTTATATTTACTTGTCTTTTTTACTTTGTAGTTTGGCGGTATCGATAAAAATGAATGTGCTTCTTTTTGCTCCTGCAGTATTTTTTATGCTTCTGCTTTACAACGGTGTCATGAAAACTGCTATTTTGCTAATTATTTGCGGCATTATTCAGGTGAGCCAAATCTGTTTCTTGTTTAGCGGTAACACCGTTTGACTCTTATCGTTTTTAAAATTTTAATGTTCATTCGTGATTTTTTATAGGTCTTGTTGGCTTTGCCGTTTTTGACTTTTGATCCTATTAGTTATTTATCTCGATCGTTTGATCTCGGTCGTGTTTTTCTTTTCAAATGGACCGTCAATTGGCGATTTCTTCCTCCGGAGGTATTCCTCAGCAGAAGATTTCACCTCAGCCTTCTCGGGATTCATTTTTCAGTTCTACTATTGTTTGCATTCTTCTGTTGGTTTAGGTATTGATTATTTTTTATAAATGGTTGTAAGTATGTAAAAAAAGTAGTTTTTAGAGCACCTTTGTAGCTTATTTAATGTGAATGCTATGTTTGCCTTTGAATAATTGTTTAGAAAACGCTATCGAAGTATAAATATCTTAGTTACTTGGACAGAGGTCCTATGGGCACGCTTTTTTCACCTCATAATTTTTTCTTTTCTACTGCGCTTTTTAGATATTGAAATCTCGAGAGTAATCTTCTTAGAATTAGTTCCTTTGCACTTAAAGTAAAATCTGCATTGAAAAGTTTTGTATATGAGCAGAGTAGTAAAGCGGATGACTTTTAAAATTATTTTTCAGCAGATGTGAAACAGTTTTTTCAAACCAGTATTTATAAAAAATCGTAGACATAGCTGATCGAAAAACAGTTGTTCTGGTAATCATTTTGGAGCAAGATGGCATTGTTGCAGCTATTTTATATTGTATCATATTTCAGATCTCAAGGTGGTCTGGTAAAATTATTGCATCGGGTATCTTTTGGGCCAAGGATAAAACTTGAAGTTCATGGTAAATGAGGTTTTATCGAAACTTAAATTTATCGTTTTCACATCAAGTTTTTTTTTGGTTATTAAAATGTTCACTAAAAAAATTTTTAGAAAAGTTGAATGTCTTTTCAACTTATTTTCTTTTTTATTGATATTCACTATTAATCAATTCGAAGTGTTAAACAAAAGCTTGTTTTGGATTTTTCTTTTCGCAGGATAAGACTAGAATGTTCCATCAATTTTTTACGGTCATATAAACAGACTGTTTTGCTACCTCACTCGCTGATTGATTGAATTAGTTTCAAAATGGAATTTTTGTAAGAGCAAAAGTTGGCGGAAAAGTATTATACGGTTACGCACGCTGCTTAATAATATTATCGCTTTTCTCTTTACTTCTTATTTTGGTATTGTATAATGGCTTCATTTTTAGATGCTATCATGATTATTTTTTAATCATGTAAGTTAAACATTGTTTAATTTCTGAAGAAACGTTTTAGATATTTTATATGCGTTGTTCACTGCCAATTTGATAGGAATTGCTGTAGCTCGTTCACTGCATTATCAGTTTTACAGTTGGTATTTCCATTCGTTGCCGTATTTATTGTTTTCCACTCTCTCCTACAAAAATTTAGTTTCCTTGAACGCCAAAAAAAACACGTGGTTAGTCTTTTTTCTTGTTTCTTCACTAAACTGTTTTTATTGGAAAACCTTTACTTGATTTTGAGTGTTTTTCTCACTTTTTCAGTATTTTCTTTCGTAGAAAATTACTTTTAATTTTTTAGAGTCTATTTCCAATTTTGCAGGGCTAACACTGCAAGTACTTCGTGGTTTGCGATCTTGTTACGGTATCTGTTTAACAAAGAATTTATTAGTGTATAGTTGCGCTAAAGTTTAGAAATCTGCCATTACAACAATTCTCCAACATTTAAGACTTATGATTTCTAGATCTGCTATTTTGATTGGTATTGAGTTGTGCTGGAATTCGTACCCGTCGACAAAACTCAGCTCTGGCGCGTTAAATGTTTTTCATCTGGTAATTCTCGTTATCACATTTGTTCACGGTTGCACTCTTTGGCAGTCCAAGAAGAAGGAGATTTAGTAAACGAGACAATTGAGAGCTATCCTTTTCAGTATCATCGGCGTTTACAGGTTATCTAATTATTGAGTGATAATACTTTTTAACATGATTTATAAAAATGGTTTTTGTTTCTAGTTGAGATTGAAGGTAATTTTATATTTAAATTGATCTTTATTTGGCATCATGCAGTAATACTAGGATCTCATTGTCATTAGAGGACCTCTTTTCTGTTAGCCCAATTATTTTTCTTCTACTTGATTTTACGACTGGAATTTTTATTCACCGGCTATTAACATTTTCGGTGGAAATCACCATTCTGCTGTTTAGTCAACGCCCCTAGTGTTTCCGAATAAAGGTTTTTAAGTACGATTTTACTTTTTGGTAACAGGTGTTTGATAGGTGACATGGGCTGATATAGGCTGATAGTTTGTGCTGGGTTCATATGAGATTTAAGGAATTCTCTTACATTTTGGGCATAAAATTTTTGCTCATTTACACGTCAAGCACATTTTACATTCTTAATCTTTCTATGTTTAGGACTTCGTCTTGCTGACTTCGCGAATTACTGTTTTACTCGATTGGTTAAAATTATTTATATCTTTGGTTTGGTGTTGTATTATGATAATAAAGTTCTTGATTCTTTAATCCAGGGAGGTAATTTTTAGACTTTTTTCGCGCCTTGTTTAATAGTGCCTACTCATGTTTTGCAGAGGAATGCCACCATGTAACAAAGGCCAATTAGTGGAGTTACTCAACTGATTTAAAACCCACTGTGTTTTCAACGTTAAAAGTTGGTTCTGATTTACATTTTATCCTTTGTTCCAGTTCATATCAGGCGCTGTACTGTTACAGAACCTTTTAATTGTATTTTCTTGTTAGTATTTCAGATTTTGATAAAAGTATTTCAGTAAAATCGCTTCTAAATTTACTTTTCATGATTTTATTGGAAAATGGCAAGGTTGACTTAAAATATTAGCTGGTTTTGGTTAAATCTAATAAAAGATGTTATAAATTTTTATTGGTTGTTTTATATAAAATGAGCCCAGGGGAACTTGCGGGACTTCACTAGTACTGAAACTGGAAGTAACGTTTTTATTATGAAGTTCCTTTTCCACTCTTTATGTTAATGTGAATACCTATTGTTCAGAGTTTTGAAAGGAATACTTGGTCTATGATGTTTTATCTGTTGAACTGTTTTTAGTTGCTCTATGGTATCTTTGAATTTACTTTGAGCAGCAGGCCAAAGTACTGCTTTCTGTATTTGTTGAATATTCGGTCAATGGTTTATTGGTAGTTGTTGTAACTTTTAGTATTTTGTGTCTTTGAAGCGTTGAAGTACTAACTGTTTCCGTAATATCAATACTGACTAACAATAAATTGTAACTGGTAACAGACGATTCTTGCAGGGCAAATTTTGTTAGTCTATGGTATCACTGGTTCAATCTGCCAAACATTTTTACAACTTGTGCGCGAAGAAGTTTCTAAAAAGTACTGCCAGTCTACAACAAATTTGAAATTTTTATCAATGGTTGCTGATGAAAGTTTTAAAGACAAGTTTTTTTCTGACTACCATTTTTACGGAATTGAATAAGTGAAAGCCTTTCTTTGTTTTTGGCTGGCTGATAATTGATCGTTTTTAAATTTAGCATCAGTTGCTGCTTACAGTACCCGTCCTCAAGTTTTCAACCGTGCAATTAAACGTCAACAAAGAGACTGGGCGGCGAGCTGCAAGGATTATGAGCTATGTCAGTATGTCAAAGTAACCTTTAGAGATCTTCTACTTTGAAGTATATGTGAAAATGTAACCCTTCTTTGCTCTGCTCTTCAAAAACGGTCAAGGTCGGAAAATTTACAGTCCGATCCGCTTTCCTAGCCTCATCTTTTGAGGAGAACGAAGGCTTCGGCTTAAGTTTCATTCGAGTGGTGCGCAACAAAACCACATTTATTTAGGAGGAGATTGGTTTTCAAATTGCTGATAAAGTTAGTGACTTGACGAAGTTTAGCGAAATCTGTATTAGCCTGGGGTGTGATGGAGGTTATATTGCAAAATACATTTCAAAAGTAAGCTTTTTTTGAATCATTTTGGTCTCTGTTTGAAATCATTGGAGAATTTACGTATTTCATTTTCTTACGAATTTCTTGATTTTGTTTTTTATGAAATAAGGATGACCTTGAAGGATTTTTGGTCTATAATGAAATCAGGACAGTACGTAATTGATTCAACGTAATTAAACTGCATTTTCAGGACAAACTTGGTGTTCTTTTACAATGTGATATGAGTGAGGGTTTTGTTCGTCGTAGCAACTCTGCCCCAGGTTCTCAGATTCCCGTATTAAGTGTTGTTGCAGACGAAGAACTAGTTCCGTTCAAGAGTCACTGCGCCGATCTTATTGTTTCAAATTTGAGCGCTCATTGGATCAATGACCTTCCAAATTGGTATATCTAAGGTTTCGCGCTTTTTTATTTTGGATTGAGTACGCTGAAATATATCCGCTATTCTACCAATGAGATAGCTTCCTGATAACTGTTGTAGTTTTCTTTTTGGCAGTGAACGGATAACTAAGACTTGCACGCATAATGTTATTTCAAAATTTTTGTTTAATTGCATGGCTATTTTATTTGGAGCATATGGTTTAGGTTTTCGCGATGCTTCTCAATATTGCGTGAGGATTGTCCGTTTATTGGTGCAGTTTTAGCTGGTGATACTTTGCAAGAGCTCAGAATCTCTTTACAGTTAGCTGAAAGTGAACGCTTGGGTGGCATTGGAGCTCATATTTCTCCTTTCTTAATGCCACAAGATGTTGGTAGCTTAATGAGTCGTGCAGGTTTTCAGATGATCACCTTGGACTCTGATCGTATTGAGGTTATATTTTGTTTTGGCAACTCATTTCCTTGTTAAATGTGTTGCTGTAGTATAATTCTGTCTTGAATCAGCAGTTTGACCCAGAATAACACTGCATTTACTATTTGGCTTTCGTCTTGTTTCAGCGTGCCTTACTTTGGTCCTACATTGAGTTTTCTTTCTAGATTGGATATCCAAACATGTTTGCCTTATTGTACGATTTGCAGTCTATGGGAGAATCTAATGCCACTAACCGGCGTAATTGTCATTTGAGAAGGGATATCCTAGTTGCTGCAGATGCTATTTACAAGTGAAGCTTGTTATTTTTATCAAAATCTTTTAGCATTTTCATGTTGTGTGAATTCTAGTATGTCACTGAGACATTTGTAGGAATGAGTTTAAAGACCGTCAATAGGCCTTGTCATAGTGATACTTGCTTGTTTTATTTAAAAAGGAAGTTTTATGGGTGTTTCATTCCAATTACGATGCTTTACAGAGCCATGTTCGCCGAGAATAATGCATACCCTGCAACTTTTCAAGTGGTATCGTTTATTGGTTGGAAACCGGGTTCTAATGTGCCAAAACTAGCTAAGCGTGGATCTCAAAATGTTTCCTTCAAAGACCTGTCAAAGTATGCTTCGGGTGAAAAACCATTACCATTTCAGGGTCACGAAGAAGTTTAGCTTATTTTTATGTGTTTTCGTTGTATCACATTTTGCATATTGTGCGACGCCTTTATAAAACAGGATAAAAATTGATTTTTCCTTCAGAAACCTCAATTTGCCACTTTAGCTTGGTGAAGTTTTTTAGGTTACAAACTGTAGGTTTCATTTTAAAATATGGACAAAATATACATGGTATTTGAATAATTTTTTTAAAATTTTATTGAATTTTGTTTTGGAGCTTGGCATCAGTTTTTATTATTAAATCTTGACGATTTGATATTTTTAAGTGGTTGCTGTCAAGAAAACGTGGGTTTTTCATTTTGAATTGCTGTTGTCAGTCTATTGTGCTTTGACTGTATTTACAAGTTCATGCACCTTAGATTTCATTACCAACGCTATATGAACCTTAATATTGAAATTTTTTCAAGAATTTATAATATTTATTAAAAAATTATAAATGCAACAAAGTAAATGATCGCGAAGTTCATCACCTTTTTTATGCAGCTATCAATTTATTCGACTTAAACTTCTTGTATTTCCGCCAACCCTCTCACATGTTTTAATAGATAATTAAATGGAGAACTTTAAACAGTTAATGCACTCAGTTTTCACCTGGCATTATCAGTGAAACATTTAAGCTTCTTGAAAAATATATGATAATTAAATTTGGAGCTGTATACATGAACCAGTTTTCATTATTCTGGTGCAGTTAGGGCTTTAACACTTAACCAGTTACGAAGAAGTGTGAAATACATTTTTTGAGAACTCACATTGTTTGTAATAGTCAGTGCTAGGTCAACATCAGCTTATTCTTAAGTTGCCTTCTTGTTTTAGCAGAGTGTAAATTTTAAAACGGTAACATCGATGGCTAAAACATTCTGTTGGATGGTCATTTTTTGTGGCGTAATTCTGACGGGGTCTCCTGTTGTGCCTAGCTGACAGTGGATGGCGATGTAGAAGTTGGTCAAACAATTATTTAGAAGCGCATTTGAAGGGAGTTTTTGCTAAACGGAAATTTTTATAGCTTTTTTAACATTGTTATGAGAAAGGTAAAATATATCACAAAACTGAAGTTCTACGGAACTTCACAATGTTTTGAACGCAAAGTTTAAAAAACAAGATACTATTCGCAGCTGAAGCCACAGACAGCTGTTTTTAAAAGGCGAAATTGGTGAGCCATCAAACTATCTTACGTCAAAGTACTCAGCGGTGTTTAAAACAGTTTACCAAATTCAAGTATAGTGTTAGAAACTTTTTGTGCAAAAGCAACAGAAAGAACCAGCGTTTTAGTGCTTCCACAATTTTTTGCATTTCCAAAGATCACGTTATATGGGGTTGTACTGGAGATACGGTGTCTTGACCTAACTGTACTGATATTCCACAATTCTCTATCTGTAGTTTCTTGAGTTTTAATCATACAGCTTTATCTGTGGTCATTTTTATGTTGTAGGATTCTCTTTTGTTATTTCTAACTACTAAAACAATTAATGTGAAGGTATTATTAAAATACTTATCAGCGCACACTGTAGTGGTTATAGATGTCGATGTTTCAGAAATTTATGTCAAGAAACATATCAACGGACAGCTAACTGTTAGCAATGAATTCGCAATATAAAACAAAAAGTGGTTTCAAAAAATTAGTGTCTCTGTTTCTCAACAATTTAGTGAAAAAAAATACGATAAATCAAGTGCTTTCCACTTAAGGACAATTTGTTTAGAAAAGCTATTTTGTTGGATTTATAGCGGTGAGAAGCAATTGTCCTCTTTACTTTTCTTCTTTTATTGGCTCTATTAAAAAAAGGAATATTTTTTTAACAAAAAAAAAATGTTCTGTCGCTGATTTTAAACAACCTGGTTGACCAAAAAATAAACTTGAATCTGTAACATCCATTTTGTAATTTCCAATACTGTTCTTCTTTTCTGAGCAAATCTTAATATTGTATATTTTTACACACATAATGTTACTATTTTGTGCTTCTAACAACCTATCCAGCTGTAAAATTGTTAAGCGTATTAAGCTGAAAAATATTTTGCTGTTAACCGCTCCGGTTTTTTAAATACATATGGCTTAATTGCATGATCTTTTATTCAGCTTATCTACCTAACCAGTCCGCTTACATATATTCTTTATTTTCATCGTAATTTTTTGTATCAAACAACTTTGCATCCTATTTTTAACTCTACCGAGTTTCAAAAACTTTCATTCATGGAATTTATTCACCTTAACCTTATAATTATTGATTTACACTGTATTGTGAAGAAAAAAAAGGGTAAATTAGAAGATGTATTGCTAAAGGAAGAAAAATGAAAATTAGGTGTAGAATCGTCTTTCAAATTAATTCTATCTGACTACAGGACTGACAACAAAACGGCAATAACTGATCTGCGCCACTGTCATTCTTGTAAGTAGAATTTTTAATTATTTTTTTTTTGTCATTTTTTTGATATTAATAATAATATTAGCATTATTACTATTATTTTTTGTTATTACTGCCGCTATTTTTAGTGTTATCAGATTTTAGTTATACATTCATTGACGTCAGCTACTGACGGTTGTCAGTCTGTTATTTATTTGTTTATTTTAACCTTTGCAAAGCTTTATTCTCCACTCCTCCTCCTATCTTCTACGTCACTGTTCAGAAGTTCGGTTTTT